ACGACTAGTGTTTGTCAACTGAGAAACACCATACGCTTCTGTAATGAGGTAGGACCTCATTACAGAAGGATTGTGAAAATGTAACTACACGCCTATTGGCACGAACAACAAATAAAGATTTAATATAATACATACGCAAGGCATTAGAGAAACAAAAAAGAAATATACATATTATGGTCCATTTAATTGTTTAAACAAACACTTTAAATATTATCAGTAACTAAACGTGCTAGAGTTGCTGTTATATTATGATTGTAGCACAAATGGTCAGGTGGAATTCAGTTTCATGAGAATTATATCTATTAAGAATCTAAATGGTTAATTTCATTAATAGTGCTGTAATCATAATTATAATTTAAATTATAAAATTTATAAACCTCCGAAACAAAAAGAACTGGTGATCTTTTATCGTTTGAACAGATTTTGTTGACACATAGCTAAGTAATAAACACGTAGCCTCAATTAATAAACCTTTCAAACCACCCATTTTTTCAAACGACTTCAAAAAGAAGGTTCTCAATTTGTCGGAATCTTTTTTTATGTATATTCACCGATTACTCAAAGACGACTGAACTAAATTCTTCTTTTTTTTTTCAAAAAAAATCAACAATAACTTATATTCATATTGAAGTTAAGTTATAGTCACTGTTATAGTTAATGTCAACAATAAAATTTATTATGTGCAAGAGCTATTTTAAAATTAACATTTCGAGAATAACATATTTTATATATATCGAATAACGGTGCTAAACGAGCACACAGTCCATCTGATGGTAAGCAGGTACTGCGGCCTCAAACAGAATCAAAATGCAGATGAATTGTCACTCCTGAGGACTAAGATGGAATGCTCAGTTTCCAGTAAAAATATTCTCCGATTCTCTACCAAACACAGCAGCATTAAGCTGTTTCTAAGCGTGGTCCTACCCAGGTCGAACCAACTCATTCGTGCTGCAACCATAATATAGCAGCAGCGTGGTCCTACCATGTATAAAACAGGCTTACAGGCTTTGAGGTGTATGATCGTAGTCTTCAGAAGTGACAACTTATCTGTATGTGGTTCTTTTCGGTTTACGGTTAGTTTCAGTTATCCATGGGCTTCATAAGTCATGTTCCATCTGTGCACTGTAAGCTCGCTTGCCAATTTTATATTTAAAAGAAGAATAATTATTTATGTAAAAATGTTGACTCAATGATAAAAATAAAATTGAAGTGTCAGACTGTAATAACTAAATAATTGCCTTAACTAAATTAACTAGGTTTTTGCATGTTTTTTTTTTATAGGATATGGTTGACAAACGAGCCCACAGTCCAGCTGACGGTAAGTGGTTGCTGTAGCCCATAGACATCTACATTTATCCTCGATTTCAAATCAAAATGCAGATGCGTTGTCACCTGTGAGGACTAAGATGGAATGCCTCGTTTCCAGTAAAAAGGGTCTCCGGTTCTCTACACTCACCATACGAAACACAGCAGCATTAAGTTGCTATTTTACGCTGGTATTCTGTGATAACGTGGTCCTTCCCCGTTCGAGCCGACCCATTCGTGTTACAACTATACCAGAAATATAGCTTCAGCATGGCTCTACCCCGTATTACGCGTTATTAAGACATGAAAATAATTGTCTAATTTTTGTCTCTCTGTCTGCCTGACTTTAGCTAATCTTTGGAATGGCTGAACTGATCGTGATAAAACTTTACGATCAGATAGAGAGCAGTGCCAGGAGGGATCTAGGCTATAGGTATTTTATCCGAAAAATTTAAAGACTTTTTTATGTAAAAACAAAATTGATAAAATAAATGGTATTTGATTATGGTAAATCTAAATAACACGACTATAATAGAAACTATCCAGACGAAGTCAAGGTGAATCGCTAGTCTTAAATAATAATAACCACTATTTCAGTGCTGTATTGTAGGTGACTTCCAGATGCCATATAAGGCTTCGGTAGACCGGTAGACACATGTAACTTGCGTCTAATGTTGTTTTTTCCTCGACATGTTGACCAATGACTGGAAGTTGCTGATAAAAATATAACGTTTATTCTCCTTTTTATTAGAGGGTCGTAAGATTAAGTTAATTGCAGCGTCGGACCTACATCTTACACGCAGGTGCGGTCTGAAACAATCCCAGCAACATTACTGTCACAAACTCTTCTAGTTTATTGCTCAGTTAATAACGTCAGAAGTCAAAGTAGCAGGTAATGTTTTAAATATCTTGTATCTATTTATATGACTGCCTCACTTGTCTAGTGGGTGTAAACGCAGTTGATAATAATCAACCCGGGTTGGGCCAAATTTCTCTCATGAAATTGTCAGTAGTAGCCGTGGATCAGTAAGTTGGCGGTTACTAGACTTCTACGGAACCCTTTGGTTTGTGTGATATACATATCTAGATCCCGTTTCGCCTTGTAAAAATGATTATAATAATTTAAAATTAAATTTTTTATTAAATTGTTTTTAAGAATAATGCAAACAAATTGGACTGGAATGGGACCGCATGAAAAGTACTAGGTTTCAAGTAAAAAAGAATTATCGAAATCGGTTCACCTAGAAAAAAGTTATAAGGTAACACACATTAAAACATATAGTTGATTTGAGTACTTCATCCTTTTTGAAGTCGGCAGAAAATTAAACATTATCTCCCCTCTGCTTTGTAGCTACAGTAAGAATAAATAACCTCTATTAATGATGTTATATGAGCTACATATCACTAACAATTACTACACCTAATCCCGTTAATTACTGAGCGTACACAAAAGGTATTTTGCTGTAGGTTGTTGTCCCATCAAACAAACGAAAGTGACGAGTGTTTGTCATAACTATTTGTTAAAGAATTTTGTTGCTGTGCCTAGTAGAATCTATTTATTTTATACTCAAAATAAAGTATAATATAATGCTATTAATGGATGCATTAAATGTTTAAGTATACGAGTGTTTTTATATAAATAAGTGACAAACAAGCAGACAGTCGACATCATAACTGCTATATTATATCTGCAACATGAACGGGTTGACTAGACCTTGAAAGGACCAGGCGCTTAGAATACCAGCGTGAAATAGTAGCATAATGCTGCTGTGTTTCGTATGGTGTGAGCAGAGAACCGGAGACTTTTTTAATGGTAGGGAAGCTTTACTCATATTTTAGTCTAAAGGGTGGCAATGCATTTGTATTTTGATTCTTAATCAAAGATATAGACCTGGGTGCATATGAACTACAGCATCCAGTTACCATCAGGTGGGCTGTGTACTCGTTTGTCACTTGTCCTTTTTTTTAAATACCCATACCGGTGACGAGAAGCAACGATATAGGTGCGATAGGTTGGTACATTGATCGTCAATTTACTTGCCTTTTTTTTTTTTTTGCGGATGGAAAATCATCAAATGACGCCTTTCGCTCTGGGTGGAGCGGAAGGGAGTGTCAGACTTTTACTGACTAAAAACCATCCGTGTTCCTTCAGTGCCCTTACGTTCCGGAGCCGCGGTATCTCTTTCGAACAGCCCGCAGCCCCGGCAGGCGTCGGCCCTTGCGGGCCCCTTCACGCTGCTGACAGCTCTTTGAGGCGCGCGTGGAACAAAACGCGCCGTCGACACGGCCTGTCGTCGTTAGACGGACGGACGGCGAGCTATCCATTGCTCGCCGTCCACAGGCCCGCGCCTACGGTGGCCGGGGGCCACGACGTAGCCCCCGACGCCCGGGGCGTCTCCCGCGGCGGCCGGGAAGAAAAGCTGCTGCTCTCTCTTTCTCCCGCTCCGCCACCTCCTTCGCTAGCATCACTGCTTCGCAGAAGGTGGTGACGGCATCCCATTCCGTCTCGCTCCGGACCATGGCTTCGACCAGGGCCGGACGCGAGAGGTCGCCGCCGCCTATCGCCGCTACGAGGACACGGCGGTGCTCCGCCCAGGCAGGGCACACCTCCACGGTGTGCTCCACCGTGTCCTCCGGTCGATCCTCGCAGTGGGAGCACCCGGGCGTTTCCTCCCGCCCGATTCGGTGCAGGAACCTCCCGAACACACCGTGTCCGGTGAGGACCTGCGTCAGGCGGAAGGTGAGGACGCCGTGGCGTCTCTCAAGCCACTCCTCAAAGAGGGGTCTTATCGCCGCTATAGTGGCGTGCCCAGCACGGGGTTGCGACAGTCGCTCTCTCCATGTCGCCATGAGATCATGCCGGAAGTCTGTCCGCTGCACGACAACTTGCCGCGGCAGCGGGGTTTCCCCCCGGCATAGTGCCTCCGCGCGCCATTCGTGTAGGCGCGCGAGGACTATCGCCTCCAGATCCCATGGCGGCAATCCGGCAAGGAGGCACGCTGCCTCGCGGGAGATCGTGCGGTAGCCGCGAGCCATTCTTACGGCAACCACCTTTTGGGGCGCGTTCAGGTGGTGAACGGCAAGCCGCGCCAAACCACGCGCCCACACCGGGGCCCCGTAAAGGGCCATGGACCGCACAATCCCCGCGTAGAGCCTCCGGCAGGAGGCGTTTGGCCCCCCCAGGTTCGGCAGGAGCCGCCTGAAGGCAGCCCCGGTCCGTTCCAGTTTGGGAGCCAAACGTCGGAAGTGCTCAACGAAGTTCCATCGGCCGTCGAGGACGAGTCCTAGGTACTTCAACGTCGACTCGACGCCGATGGATACCCCTCCTACCATCGCTGAGGATCCCGGTGGTGGCCTGTTCCGAGAACCATGGAAGTGCATGGCCTCGGACTTGTGCAGAGCCACCTCAAGACCCAGCTGCCGGATCCTCTCAACGACTATCGCAACCCCGCGTGTCATATTTTCCGCCGCCGCCTCGTACGACCCCCCCTGTGCCAGTACCAGCGTGTCGTCAGCGTAGCAAACTACGCTGACGCCGGTAGGGAGGTCGGCGCGCAGCACCCAGTCGTAACCGATGTTCCACAGGGGCGGCCCCAGAACCGAACCTTGTGGGACACCGCACGACATCTCTCGCCGGTTCCACTCACCGTTGCGACCGAGGTAAATGACGGCCCTATCCGTCAGATAGTCCCCGACTATACGACGGAGATAGGTCGGCACCCGGTGATACCGGAGTGCCTCCCTAATGCAGCTCCAGGGCATGGAGTTGAAGGCGTTGGCGATGTCGAGAGGCACCGCCAAAACACCCCCCCCCCCCCCCTGGCCACTGCATCCCCCGTCGTGAGGGCTCTCACGCGCATGATGGCGTCCACCGTAGAGCGCCTCTTGCGGAAACCAAACTGGTGTTCCGCAAGATCCGGCCCCGTCCCCGCAAGGTGCTCGGCGAGGCGGTTTGCAATGACTCTTTCAAAGAGCTTGCCCACCTCGTCGAGCAGCACCACGGGCCGGTATGCGGACGGAGAGTCCGCAGGGCGCCCCGGCTTCCGAATGAGGACCAGCTTCCCCGTCTTCCAACGAAGCGGGAATTGGCCTCTCTCCAAGCATGCGCTTAGGAGCCCCTCCAGTCGGGGCCCGAGAGCCTCCGAGGCCAGGACCCAGGCTTTGCCAGGCAAGCCATCGGGCCCTGGGGCGGTATTCCTGGCCTTGAGCCTACGTACCGCCACTCTCAGGTCTACCCCGGTCCCTTCCGGGATGCCGTCGTCGTCGTCCTGGTGGTCCGCTTCCGGCACGGCAGGTGGCGGAGCCATAGGTGGGGACGGATGTTCCCCTCGCGCAGGATACAGAGCGCTCACCACGTCCTCCACGAGCTGAGGCCGGAGACTCTGCGTCAGCCCCGCTCAGCCCGGCCCAGGTGCGGAGTTTATCCCGCACCATCTTGTAAGGGCGCCCCCAAGGATCTCTGTCGAGAGTCTCCAGCATCTCCTCACGGGCCCGATCCCGGGCCCGCATGATAGCCTCCCGGAGGGCGGTCTTCGCCGCTCTGTATCCCTCGTACAGCTCCGCCTCAATGGCTGCCGCATTCGGTGGACGAATACGGAGCCTGCGATGCCTGGCGTACAGGTGCCGCGCGGCGACACACGCCTCGCGCAGAGACGTCAGCTCACGCGACCACCAATACACCTGACGCCGGGCGCTTCCTGGCCGGACGCGGGGCATTGCCACGTCACATATCTCGGACATGGCCTCCTGGAACCACCCTGCCTCATCATTGACGTCGGCAGGCCTATCCGGTGATGACACCCAGGCCAGCACGATCGAGGCTTCCAGGAGGAGCTCCCGGTCCAGCTGCTTCAGCGCCCAACGCGGACCACTCGGGGCCTGTTGGACTGGCGCGCTCGAGGGCTGGGTGGAGACGTCAAACCGGATGTACCGGTGGTCGGAGTAGGTCTCCACCCCCTCCATGACTCGCCAGTCAATGGCACGCGGCGACAGAGCGGGGCTAGCGAACGAAATGTCCACCACCGACTCGCCCCGCATCCGCACACACGTGGGGACAGAACCCCGATTTAGGACGACCAGGCCTGTCTCCAGAGCCCAGTCTTCCACCATCCTACCCCGCACATCTGTACGACGAGAACCCCAAGCCAAGTTCTTGGCATTGAAGTCCCCGAGGACAAGCACGGGGAGGGGATAGCTTCCGACGACGACTGCTCTCAGCTCTGCAAGAGAGTTGTGGAGCTCGGCGAGAGATCGGTTCGGGGAGAAGTACACCCCCACAACGACGAACTCCCCGAACCGTGCTGCTACGCACCCCTGACCCCTCCTGACACCTTCAAGAGTCGGGGTACCGGCGGCGGCCGAAGAAATGATGGCCACTGAGCCGTTAAGGTCCGCCACCCAGTCCTTCCTAGGCCAGACAAAATACGGCTCAGCGACCACAGCGATGTTAATCGACCACTGCGCCATGCTCTGGAGCAATAGATCCTGAGCGCAGGCGCAGTGGTTGATATTCGCTGGAGGAAGCTTAATGGGGCCGTTATAGGCATTCCATTTCAGCTTCCTCCACGGGGCGCCACTCTGCAGGCGTCGGTGTCGCGGCGGCGGCGGCGGCGACAGTGACAGCGGCGGCGGCGGCAGTTGCAGCTGCGGCGGTGGCCATAGAGGCGGTGGCGGCGGAGGAGGGCCCTCTCCTACCCGCGGCCTTGGCCTTGGCGGGTGACACGCAGGCCCTGCTTCCGGCCCAGTGATCGGCTGGCTTGCCGATCGCCGCACGTGCATCACAGTGCGGCGTAGCGCAGCAGGTCGCCGATATGTGTCCGGGCTGACAGCAGCGGAAGCAGAGGCCACTGCGGTCAACCTTCGAGGCGCATTTCACTGACACGTGATGCCCCACGAGACAGCGGTAGCACCTCAGAGGTCTGGGCTCCAGCAGCTTAACCTGCGCTGAGACCCAGCCCACCATAAGCCTTCGGCCCTCCACTATGGTTTTGGCCGCCGTAACAGGGCAGCACACCGTGGCGGCATGCATACCCTGTTGATCCGGGCGTATGGCGCCTGACCTGACCTGGTCAGTAGTGCACCCCCCGGACCTGGCGACGGCGGCCACCAACTCCTCCTCCGATACCGAGTCGTCCAGACCCATGATGCGCAGGTCTGCGCATCTGACGGGCCTGGACACTCGGGCCTCATCCGCGTTCAGGGACGCTCTGAGCTTCGCAGCCAGAGCGTCCGCAGTCGCGCCACTGGATTCCCCGGGGATCTCCAGCATACGGGCCCCCGTCTGGGTGACTTTGAGCCGGAGGCCCCCAGTGATCCCGAGCTCCCCGAGATCCACCAACTCTTTCGCCTTCGCGAGCAGATCGCGGTAGGTAACGCCCTTGTTTTCCGCGTCCGGCTGTAGTGTAATCACTACAGCTGCGGTCTTCGGAGCGCGGAGCCTAGCCGCGATCTTGCGCGCCCTGAACTGGTGCTGCTGCTCCTGCTCTTTGGCCTTTTTGGCTGCCTTCTTCCCCTTCTGTTTGACCCCGACCACCTGCCAACCGGCTTCTGCCGCGGGAGGTGTAGGGAGCTGGGGGGGCGGTGGCGGCGGCGGCAGCTGGCTTGCCGCTGGCGCTGGCCCATTCGCCGCAGGCACTGGGGCTGGCGCAGCCATCACCTGTGCTGCCGCCTTGCCCTTTTTCGCCTTCGTATTGCCTTTCTTTCCCGTCGCCGACTTAGCCGTAGCCGGTTCAGCCGGTTTCAGTTTTGCTGGAGCCGGCTTTTCAGGGGGGGGAGGGGCAACTGCAGCCCCACCCGAGGGCTGGCTGGACGGCCCCGGCCTGGATGCGGCAGCCGTGACCGTCGCGTAAGAAGCCGTTGCCGGCCTCGCCGCCGTCTTGTTTGCCCCTAGGGGGGGGCGCAGGACGATGCCCTCCAGCACGGAGAACCGGTGCTGGAAGGCAGCCAGCTCCTGCCGGACCAGGTTCAGAACCTGGTTCTCCACCGGCACGGGCTGACTTGGGCGCTGCGTCTGTGGCGCCGCGCGAGAGGCAGGCTCATGTAGACTGGCCAGGTCTGCGCGGAGCTTCTCATTCTCCTTCTGGAGAGTCTCCATGGCGGACGTCAGGCGGGCCACTTCCGTCCGCAGCTTCGCCACCTCGTCCGCATTAGGCCCAGCCCCAGCAAAGTTGGCCTCCGCAGCCGCCATGATGGAGGCGGAGGCCGCGGGAATAGCCTTGACTTTCGAGGAGGACTTTTGCTTGTTGGCCACGACCTTGATCGCGGCCTCCACCTCCTTTACGAATCTGGCCTTACGCTCCACCTCGGAGCCGCCAGTCGCGTCTGTTTCTTCGCCTGATTCCCGAACCGTGTCGTCCGGGTGGCGCCCCTCCTCGGCAAGCTTTGCCGCTCGTTCGGCCCTCTGAATGGTAGAGAGCTCCCTCCCCTTGCCTCTCAGCCCGCCCCGCCTGTTGGTGGGGATTTTCCGGGCCGAAACCTCCTCTTCACCGGATGCCGACCCCTGGTCGCCATCCCGCCTGGACCGCTTGCGGAAGAACTTGCTGGTCTCCGCGGTCCCAGGCTCCACTTGTCGGGAGCTCTCTGAGCCTCCCTCGCTGCTCGATGCGGCGTCGGACTCTGTCCCCGCATCGTTTCTCCTCTCCTCTACGTTGCCGTTGCCGGCGGTTTTGGTTTTTTGTGTTTTTTGTTTGGTTTCCATTTTTTGTACCCACGAGTATGGGGGAATTACAAGTCCACCTTGGCAGAGACCCCTTACCAAGGTAAGCAGATTTAGAGGATTTATTACTCGCCAGGGGGTCTGCAGGTACCCTGGCGAGGAGCGCACTAACGACTGATTTGTTCATAGAACCCCGTCAGCCATCCATCCCCTCGCGGTGCGTCGCCGCTTGAGATTCGGGGTAACTTTTTATAGAGGTTTTCTCCCTCGCGGTCCGGGCGGTTAAGCCAAGACCCTCGGTCCCTATCAAAGCCGCGAGACGTGATCCACGACACTTCGATACTGGGATTACGAGACCGGCGGTGACAGCAAAGGATGAATCCTTCACTGTCTGCCCGGAGGCAGGGTAAGTGCACACCGAGCCCGCCCTCACTCCTCTGCTATGCCCTCTGCTGATCAGAGGGTCACGCAGTGGAACGCACCGTTGGTCCGGGACGGACCCCCCCCCCATGTCAGAATAATTAGCCGCGGCAGTACCATTCCCCAAGGAGTAAGAATATCTTCTCATTTCTCGAGGAAGACTACTGCTGCGCCCAGGGTGCACCGGCCCAGTATCTGCTCTTCTCTCCAGACGTATCGAGAGGGACCCGCAACTACCAGGCACACGTGGAGGACTTCTGACTTCGCACCCCCAATTTACTTGCCTGGCATGATGATTAAGACAATGCAATAAGGGCATTTGTAGCTGTGAACTATTGCAGGCTCTTGGAAATAGTAAAGACCACTAAGATTGCGAAGTTGTGCTGCGAAGTTGCTATGGCCGAACGTCATAATTTAACAATTTTATTTGAATTTGACAAAAAATTACTCTGCGCACATCCGCTAGATAAAATAAAATGATGTGTCTTACCTAGTTTGAAAGGCACCTCCCGCCCTCCGTCAATTGCGTGCACTATCCCCGTCACCACTAATGCCATCACCACTACGCCCAACGCCACTATACTAGGAAAGACACACCACTGACGACAATACGACACGTGTTTCACCTCTACTCGAGGCATCCTCAGGTGATATAGACTCTACGGTGGCTAATCGCTAAGTGAGCGGCGAGCCAAAACAACTGCCTTTTATACAGACCGCTGACGCAACCGCTCCCTGCTTAAGAACCGAGCGACTGCGTCATGCGATCAAACATGCGACCAATCACCGCCGGACTTACGCAGCCGTTTGCAAAATTAAAAATAAACCGCCGCGCAACGCCCGCCTACCCTCCAACCACGCAACCAATCGCTGATCACCGTGAGGGTGACAAACGATCATATTGCCAGGCTGTCTGTTATTAGAGAGCAGGCTTAGAGATATTTAGGAGAGGTGAGTTAGAAACATTTGTTTGTTCATTCAGCAGTGCAACGTTACTTTTATTACTTTTAATATCTCTAACTGTTCCAGTACACACAGTTGCAGCCCTTTATTACATGTATGTAAGACTTTAAAGGAGTGGTCGTTGACTAGTTTGTGTTCAGTGTCTAAAAGATGTTTAGCAAAATGTGATTTATCGAGATTGCAATTCCTGTACGCGGCTAAATAATCTTTATAACGTGTTTTGAAGTTGCGACCAGTCTGACCCACGTAAACGGCGTGGCATTCGTCACA